TATATATATATATATTTGGGTTCAAAATATTGTCAAAATCTTTTATTTTTTCATTAGTTGACTTTTTGTCTAAGAACAATTTTAATTGGTTACTCTCCTCTATTGTTTTTCTACTTTAGGCTGAAAGTGTTTTCGTGCGAATAAAGTGATCAAATATTTTGTTTCTTTTTTTAATTTGTCTTGGATTAACAGTCGGAATTTGGAACTGCATCCGAGGGATATATCAATAATAAGTGTTTTTACTATTGCATGAAAATTTTACACACTCACAGGTCTTGAAAAACGTGAAAAAAGAATGCCATAGAGTTCGATCTAATTGAATGTTTCGTTAGTATCAATAAAATGTTATATTCAATGTATTTTCATGTAAATACACAATGTGTTAGTACAATGTGATAAATCTGAATTTTGAAATGTGATTCTAAAGCAGAAGTATTAGGATGCTTGGGGAGTGTTTGGCCGCACCAAAGATTTAAGTTAAATAGGATATAGTAAATTTTATAAATCCAGATTTATCAAATCCAAGCGTGTTAAATCCAAAAAGATGTTTGGCAGGATTTAAGTTATATCCAGTTAAATCCCTTCATGATGTTTGGCTTCCTCCTGTGTGATAAGCGTAGCCTGTTCCCTTAAATCTGTTAAATCCAACTATCCATTGAATTCAAAAAAAGCAAGATTTATGTTACAAAGTAGAAAAAATGGATTTAACTAACTTTTGGATTTAACTTGCTATTTTTTGCGTTTGACAGGTTTTAGTTAAATGTAACATAAATCTTGTTAAAAAGGGGGCTACCAAACACCCCCTTAAAATGAGTGAGGACCAAAGAACATTTAGGTGGGCTTCACCCTTGGCAGTGATAATTCGTAACAATTTTTTTGATGACTATAGACTCCATCCTTGGTGTCATGGAAAGGTTAATGATGGGCGTTGGTTTTTTTGGCAATGGTGAGCTTCGGAGCTGACATTGGTGGAATTGGGAGTGGTCGCGACCCTTAGATTTATACTAAAATTTTTTGACATCACATAATACTCTAAAATTTTTCCATCCCTAAACTTAATATTAATTTAGTTTTAATCATAGTTTTTTGTTGCTTATTATTATTTTTATTAGTATTAATAATGGTTAAATTTAATAAATATGTTTATAAGAGATTCAAAAAGTTAAGGAGGGGAAAACTTTAAATTTAGATACTTGTTCTTCTTATATTTTTATCTCAACACTCATCTTTTTAAATTTTTGTTCCACAATTGGCTATTGATGTCATTGTTGGTGGCGATGATTGACATTGGTATTATGTTTCCTATAGGTGTTAGTGTTGAGATTTATTCTTGGCGTGAGGTGGAGGCAAGTAGGGCTCTAGATGTTCTTCGTTGAAATCATTTATTAGGCTTCTTTTGGATTCTTCTTTCAACTGTATTAAAATTATAGAAGGCCTACTCATAGATTTCTGGATGGGACATTCTAGTCATTTTTGATAAAAAAACAGAGCACTCAGATTGAATAATTTGTTTCAATCCCACTAGGCCATGCAATATGTTTTAGTCATCTTAGTGTTTTAATGATATTAAAATTATGTGATCTTGGGTGCTAATTTTTCTCATTCAGATTATAAACACATAAAAATTAGAAGTTGTTTGGTCTGTCAAATGACCCTTAGAAGTTTTCAACTATGCTTATGTGTGATTTAGATCCATTTGGACTGAGATCCTTCATATTTTAGGTCAGGGTACTCATTTTAACTATAAGTTTGCTGAAAATAGAGTTTGTGGAATCCTACAATCAATTCTAGAAGTTTCTATAAATCTTTGGGCGTTTTTGAGATCCAAGAATTGTATTAAGATTCATGCTTGATTGAATGAATTTTACAGTGATATATAAATTTCTTTATTTCAGTTTCTTCCTATAACTTAAACTTTGCAACTTTCTGATTGTTTAAATAGATTAATTGCCTTTTTCTTTGTACGCAAAGCAATTACTTTCTTTTATTTTTAGAATGTAACTCTTATAATAAGTTATTCCATAAACCCTTATGAATAGTGGAAATGCATGTTCTTGTCAATACCTTTAATGCTTAAATATTGAGCGTGATCGACCATATACATTTCACGGAAGCTCATATTTTTTGTATGATTTAACAGATTTTCTTTTTGTTTTTACAGATGGAGCTATCCCTTCTATTAAATTATCCACTTATAGACGTCGTCTGGGTTTAGTTTCCGAGGTCCGTGTCTGTTCTGCAGCTCCTCAATATGTAACGTATTTTCTAAATATTTAAAATTGGATAATGGCCTGCAACAGATTTCCAATGATGACAGAACTTCAGAAGCCATGACTTCACTCCGTAGAAACATGGGTTCTGAGTTCTCACGAATGATTAAGGAGGCTAAAGTTCTTGGATTGGCACTGGGTATCCCTTTTTTAGATGGGTAAGCTGTTCATGAAAGTTCTTTTGGTATGAGAAATGATTGGAATAATTAATCTGAATGGTGTAGAGGATGGTATTAAGTTTCTTATTATAAAAATGTTGTGGAGAATTGGAAGCAGTAGTTGTTGAATTTACTCTCGCAAATATGGGGAATTAGAAATTTATGGACATTTTGTCATATTTTTTCAGAATATTCATTGTAGTAAAATGAAGAGCTTGCAGCCAGATTTGAAGATGCATCCTTTTAAAATTGATGTCAGATATGAAATTCATCTGAGATATGTAATTTGTCTAGATTTTGTCATATTATTAACATTATTTTACTTTGCAGTGAAGAGATTTCTGTAACTAGTTTTTGACTGTAATTATTGTTTTCCTTCAAAAAATTGAGATATCATCATTTAGAAAATAAGAAAGGGAAATTTACATACCACTTAATATTTATTTATTTGCATATCTAATACCTAAAGTTTGATATTTACATTTATAACACTTAGATCTTAAAGTTTATGCATGAAAAGGTTTATTTCACTTTTGATAAGTTAGTAGTAGTGATTTTTTTGATATAATGTTTAAGATTTAGATGGTCCGTATGTAAATATAAGACTTTGTGTGTTAGATACATAAATCCAATTTCTTCTCACGAAAATTTTCTAATAAAAAATGTTTATCAAATGAAGTTGTGTGAAAGAAAAGTCATTTTTGTTAACATTTTCTTCTGTATAGATGTTGTCAAATTTGTGACCTTAGCAACATAATTTTATTGATAGAAGAAGGGGTATGTAAACCTATTTATAATAGGCACAACAAAAGAAAGAAATAAAATAAAATAAAATAATTAGGAAAAGAATAAAATAGAATAATGTAAAAAGGCAAGGAATAATAAATTAATAAGCAAGAAATAATAAGTAATGACAACTAGGGATTTAATTGTAGCTATAAATCTAATACCAACCTCAATTTGAAGTATAGATGTCAATCATGTTTAACTTAGATTTGAAGTCATCGAACAATTGTCGAGGAAGATTTTTGGTGAGGATATCCGCTAGTTGACCATAGGAGGGTACAAAAAACATGCAAATTTCCCCGACTCAATTTTTTTTCTTAATGAAGTGTCTATCAGTCTCCAAATATTGGGTATAATCATGATAAATTGGATTGAGAGCAATGTTGATGACGTCCTTACTATCACAAAATAGCTGCAGCGGGACGAAGTTTAACATGATGCGTAACCAGAGAGCTTCACAGATTCCTAAGGCCATGAATCGGAATTCAACTTCAAAACTTCTCCAAGCAACCATAAACTTTTTTTTTTCTTTTTCTGTATGATCAGATTTCTTCACACAAATGAGCAATGCCCTGAGGTGGAATGACTATCATGAACTGACCCAACCCAATCACCATTTGTATAAAAAACAATAGGCCGAGTGGTGTGACGAGAGAAAAGTAAACACGAGCCCATTGTACCTTCTAAATAGTAGAGAATTCGGTGGACAACTTGGAGATCATGCTCATAGGGGTTATGCATGAATTCTCATTATACCAACTGCATGACATATGTTGGGGCGAGTATGGGCAATGTAGATGAATTTCTCCCTACAAAATGCTGGTAGTGAATCTTGTTGACAAACATAACATTGAGAATGTCAGATAATTTTTCATTAGAATCCATGGGGACAACCATTGGTTTGTACATAAAAAAGGTTATTCTTTTTCAAGAGGTTAATAACATATTTGCATTGTGATAAACAATTGTTCCGAGATGATTGAGCCACTTCTATGCCTAAGAAGTACGAGAGAGATCTCATATTCTTCATTTCAATGGACCTAGCAAGAATGCATTTCAAGGGCTCCAATGCTGGGAGATCATTGTTTGTAAGAATAATATCATCAACATAGACGATAAGGATAACTACCTTGCCATTGGAGGAATGCTGGGAAGAGAGTATGATCCGATTGAGCCCGAGTAAAACCATGACCCCCGACTGCCTTTATGAACTTGTTGAACTAGGCCCTGAGGGACTGCTTTAGCCCATTGAGAGAATTTCACAACCTGCACACTTCTCTTTGGAGGCAGTAGAGTCAAAGCCAAGAAGGAGAGACATGCTCTCTATTCAAGAACATATTGTTGACATCTAGTTGGAATAAATGTCGATCAAGATTCACTGCAAGGGACAATAGGACATGAGTAGTGTTTAACATAGACACTAGAGTAAATTTCTCATCAAAATCAACTCCGTAAGTCTGTGAGTACCCTTTGACAACCAATCATGCATTGTTGTGTTCAAAGGATTCATCGGAGTTGAACTTGGTGCTGAAAATCTATCGACATGCTACAACTTTTTTATCCTGAGGAAGATCAAGTACGTCCCATGTATGATTCCGCTGAAGGACATTCATCTCTTTCATCACTGTTGTTTTTCAGGCTGGATCAACAAGAGCAATCTAAATAGTAGCTGGGATCTGATGGTCCATTAAGGCTGTGGCAAATGCTCTGTAGGTCAGTGATATACTGTAGAAAGGGACATATTCTTTCATAAAATGGAAGAAGCATGTCAGATTGTATACTTTACTCAGGGAACTCACCTCCTCATTCAGAGGAGGGGTCGCGTTGAGGATGTTGCCTGGATTGTAGTCAAGGTCCTATAAGAAGGTAGCGGATTCCAGAGTAGGAGCATTGGAACAGGTGCACCGAGTGTAGACACAAATAGTGGGAGGAGGAGATGGTGCACTCACCGGATCCGAGAAGTCACCGGATGGTTCACTCATTGGATCCGGGGACTCTTCAGTAGCGGGAACAATGGGGGGAACATCCATAGAAGTAGAATATGGGATACTATCTAAAAATTCAAGCTCCCCCATTTGCGGCTAAGCTAGGAAAATAGGGAACACTTTCAAAGAAGAAGATATCAACACTAACATAGATTTTGTTATTGGTAGGATCAAGACATCGATACACCCATTTGAGTGGCAGAGTACCAAAAAAAATATATTTTACGGATCTGAGATCAAGTTTACTTCGATTGGGGGCAGTGTTTCAAACAAAATCATTACACCTAAAAATTAAGCATGAAATCAGAATGGCTAAGGAGGTTTGAAACTTGTGAAATTTAGGTGAGACTTTATTTATGGGATAGGCGACCGTGAGAATGACATCGTTCCAAAATGTTTCGGGACATTAGATTAAAACATAATGGACTGAATAACGTCGAGGAGGTGACGATTTTTCCTGTCGACTACCCCATTCTGTTGAGTGACCGTACAAGAGATGTGGTGGAGGATGCCTTTATTCACTAAGAATTCAACCAAAATAGAGTTGAAAAATTCATGACCATTGTTGGTCCGAAAGGCCTGAATAGGAGTTTAGAATTGAGTTATAGAAGTTTTGGAAGATAGTAGCAACTTTTGATTTGTCTTTTAAAATGTAAACCCACGTCATTCGAGTGTGATCTTCAATCAAAATTAGGAACCATCTTTTATTGATGTAGCTGAGAGTGCGATAAAGTCCCCATAAGTCACTGTGAATGAGAGAGAAAAGAACGTATTCAATGTAAGTATGGGATGGATGATAGACTCGATGATATTTGATTAACTGACATGTCTCATAATAAAAATTACGTGTGTTTTTATTAGAGAACATCAAATGATACAACTTTTTTAAATATTAAAATTTAGGATGACCTAAACGACAATGCAATAACATAATGAGACATTCAATTACTTTAGATAAACTATAATTTCTGAGAGGTGTGTCTGTATTTTATGTGCTCTTCTCTTGGAAGTAGTAGAGTCCAACTATTCTCTTAGCAGTTTCAATAGCAGTTTCAATCATCCTCCCCAAACAACGATCCTGAAAAACACAACCATCAGAAGAAAATTTAGCAATGTAATTATTAGCATTCGTTAACTTTTTGACATAAAATAAATTGCATTGTAACTGGGGAACATGTAAAAGAAACTTCAGAGTTATATTAGTTGTTAGTACAATCGACCATTTACCAGCAGTGGAACTATATGTGCCATGAATAATTCTGACATTATCTTTTCCCGAGCAGGGATAGTAGGCCTAGAAAACTTATAAGCATTCAGTCACGTGATCCGTGACACCTGAATCAATAATCCATGGATAAGAGAAGGAAAAAAATCATGAAAGCCCTAGGATGAGTATCTTTTCTGACATGGGAGGTCAACGGATCTGTAGAGACTTGATGGGCTCTAAGAAGCTTAATCAATTACTCCATCTGGTTTTTCGGGGATTAAGAGGATTTTGGGATGTTCCGGGTAGGATTCGGTTGATCCGTGGTAGGCTTGGCAGTCGCCGTGAGACCCTTGCTAATAAAGGATTTAGCTAAAGGTTTGTAAGCTGGCTTACCGTGAAGTTTCCAACACTTGTCCCGAGTATGGTTGGGTTTGTGACAGTAAACACAAGTAGAGTGATTGGTCCGAGAAGGCATGGATGAGGATTGATCACGATTCGAGATGATTCTGACTGAACCAAAAGAAATGTGGCTGTGATTTCGAGTCATTGATGGTTTTGGTCGATGGATAGCTGAGGAAGGCCGTAGGAAGGCTGAAAGAAAGCTGCAAGAGAGATGCAGGTAAGTTGCGGAGAGATGCATAAAAGCTGCAAAAAGGCTATAGAACAGATGCAAGAATGCCCGCTGAACAGGTAGGAATTTTGTTGCAGGTGGAAGACAGTTGGCTGGGACTGATGCAAGAAATCAAGCCGCAGGAATTCTGCTGTAGGTGGAAGACAACCTGCTAGGAAAGATGTAAGAAAGCCTGCTGGACTGCTGCAGAAATCTGCATTGCAGGAAAGGTGCAAGAATGCTGTAGAAAACGGTAAACAACAGTTTTTCCTGCAGGAAAAGTGTAAGAAGGTGTAGGAAATGAGCTTTCTCACGGGAGAAAAGATTCAAGGTAGGTAACTTGCTGGAAGTTTCTCACGGCTAGAGGTTTTCTCACGGGTGATTGAAATCTCATGGAGAACAGGGATGCTGGAGTTTCTCACGTGAGAATCGCCGGAGAACAGAGAGTTTTCACGGGAGTTTTCCTAGTGTTGGAGGTTTCTCATGGAGAATTGTTGGAGGTGGAATCGACGACAGAAAAAAGCTGCCGGAAGAGCCGACGGTTAGGGTGAAATCTTGCTCTGATACCATAACAAATTTGTGATTTGAGTAGCATAGTTTTATTGATAGAAGAAAGGGGCTATTTAAGCCCAATTATAATAGGCACAACAAAGGAAATAAATAAAATAAAATAAAATAAATAGTAAAGGAATAAACAGAATAAAGTAAAAAAAGACAAGAAATAATAAGTAATAATGGCTAGGGATTTAATTGTCGTTTTAAATCTAATAGATATAATCACTTATCTTCAAAATAAGTGGGTGAGTTATTTTGATAAACTTTTTAATGAAGTGTCGAAAAATACGATCAACCTTAGTATCTTAATGTCGTCAATAATAATAAAATGTTTCATTTTTACCTTCGCATTAGTAAAAAAGAAGTTGAGGAGACGTAAAAAAAAAAAAAAGCCAACGGTGGAAAGATTGTAGGACCAGATGATATCCCAATTGAAGTGTGAATATTTAGGAGATTTGAGAGTTCTTGACTTACTAACTCTTTAATATTATTTTTAAAACTAAAATGATGCCTGAGGAGTCGAGGAAGAGTATTTTGGTTCCTATTTTTAAAAATAAAGGGGATGCACAAGAGTGTTCAAATTATAGAGGGATTAAGTTGATGTGTCATGCTACAAAATTATGGGAGAGGGTAATTGAACATAGGTTAAGAAGTATTACAAAGATTTCTCATAATCAAATTTGGATTTATGCCTGACAGGTAGATTATGGAAGCTATACATTTATTGAGAGGTTTGATGGAGAAGTTCAAAGATAATAAGGAGGATCTGCATATGATTTTTATTGTTTTAGAAAAAACTTCCGATAAAGTTCCAAGAGATATCTTTTGGAAAGTTTTGGAGAAGAAAACTGTTGATATAACTTATATTCAAGTTATTAAAGATATGTATACAAGAGCTGTTACTTGTGTTCGAACAGAAGGAGGATTGACAAAATATTTTCCTATTTCTGTTGATTTACATTAGGGATCGACTTTAAGCCCATATCCTTTTGTTTTAGTTATGGATAGTCTTACTGGACTCTTATAGGAGGATATACCTTTGTGTATGCTTTTTGCTGATGATATCCTTCTCGTGGATAAGTCGAGAGAAAATGCTCTGGAAAAACTTTAATTATGGAGGTCTAACTTGGAGTCTAAAGGCCTTCGTTTGATTAGAACTGAAATTGAATACATGGAAACTGTTAGAACTGAAATTGAATACATGGAATGTAATTTTAGTAATAGTAGCTCTAGTGACAGAAATAATCACTTAGTGGGATAGAGGTTTTGTTGTTGTTGTAGATATAATCACTTAGCTCAATTTTGCTTACTCCATCAATTAAGATTTTGCTTATAATTGTTGTCAAGCACTTGTTTGGAGCCTTTGACTTCCAAGGGAAGTGTGGAGGGCATGCCTTTTATGTTCGTTTTATTTCTGCAAGATGAGAATTCGGGGTATTTGGTTGAAATGTTCTTCCCTTGAAATGTGTGGGCACTCAATACCTTTTTCATTCCCTTGCATGTGAATTTTCCCGTACCCCTACCACTACCCCATCCCCACCCTGCCCAAACCCTTCAGCAAAAAAAGCTTTCTAAAGTAAATTCTTTCATAGGCTCTGACTTCGTTTGAGAGAGCTTCTTCATTCATAAGAGTACCATCAAAACTAGCTTCAAAATAAACATCATTATAAAGTTACACTTCCTAAATCGATACCACCGTTTGAATAAAAAAAAAAGCTTTCTAACAAAAAAAAAAAATCCTTTATTATTGTTTGTTAATATAAATTTTGTAAGGTAAAAGGCAAAAATATCCTAATATTTCTAGATTATCGAAATAGAATTAGCACGAGCTGACCACCTTGCTGTAAGATGCTCAAATCCCCAATCCGCTCACCGCCGAGGTTCCAATTCCAAATTCTCACTCTTCTGTCTTTTTTATCCCCATTTCGACGACTGTGGGAGAAAAGGAGAAGACTGTAGCAGAAAGTCGATTGGTTTGCTGAAAAAATGCAGAAGCAGACATAGGAAGAATTTGGCTAGCGGCAAGTTGAGGTGGCATCAACGGAGGTGTTGGGAAAGTTTGGAGGTATCTTTTTGGGCCTCTCTAATGTCACTCATTCTCTCCTGCCATTCCTCGATCTCACTCTCTCTATCTCTATTTTTTTGGTTTTCACTATTTCTCTCTCTCTCTCTCCCCGTTTCTGACCAAATCTCTCCCTTACAATTTCATTCTCTCTGCTCTTGGTCATCTCCGCCATCTCTCACCATTTCCTTCTCTCGGTTATAAACAGAGAAACTGCAGTACTGAACCTTTGTTTTCCCTTTTTTTTTTATTTTCATCCAAGCCACCTGCTCACAATCCAAAAATATCATTATATATATAACCTTATAATTTTATACAATTTGGTTGGTTGGAAGGCATAAACAACTTAGGTTAAGTTCTTGCATCATATACTGGTAGAATGTAAATTCACTTTTTGTTTTTATCAAGCCAACTCATACTGATCTTCTTGCAGCAAGGATCTTTAATATAATTTGTTCATTGTTCCGTGTTCTTTTTGTATATACTTTGTTTGTTACTCTTGGTCCATCCAATATTACTAGAAGTTCACTTTTTATCGCAACAGCATATGTTAATCTTCAAAAAAGATTGGCCTTACAATGGCTAAATTTTCCAACTCAGGACAGATTTATTTCATGATTACGCTCACAATATATAGAAGAAAACTGATTTTTTAATAGATTCCTCCTATATCTTTTGCTCCTTTGGGTTTAAAAGTGCCATTTTTAACTAAAATTTTGTTGTTCGATCAGGATTGAAGAGGCTGAAGCACAATGCGCACTTTTTAACTCAGAATCCTTATGTGTAAGTGGAATCCTTGTTTTTTTTTCATTAAATCGAGGTTATATAACTATTGGAATTGTTATCAGGATGGTTGTTTCACTTCTGATTCAGACATCTTCCTCTTTGGAGCCAGGACAGTGTATCGAGAAATTTTCTTAGGTAATGTCTGGAATTGACAAAGGGGTGATTTTGGAATCTAGATATCCTCTTGAAATTTATATTTTAAGGTCCCTGTTTTGATCCAAGATTCTGGATGCTAGAAAAATTTTTAATTTTCACTTTGTTAAATGATTTTTTGTTGCTATAATATGGTGGACATTGAAATAATGTTATCTATTTCTTTGTTTGATAATTTAGGTGAGGGAGGTTATGTAATTTGCTATGATATGGTGGATATAGAGAAGAAACTTGGCTTTGGAAGAAATTCACTGGTGCGTTCTTTTCTAAGACTAAATTTCAATATCGTAGCTTTTATATTGCTTTGATTGGGATCGTGGTAATAATTGATAATGATGAATGTATGCTGAAATAACTGTTTGATTTATGCTATACGAACTTTCCCATTAGCTTGAACTTCTTTTATCTTTTCATAGAAAACTATGAAGCTTTCCATGTTCAAGCTCTTTTAGGACCACTGCATTATTTTGTCAATTATTGATAGAATTTGTAGATTGAATTAAAGAACCTTGAACATATAACTACTTTTTTTCAATATGATTCATTATTATTACAATTTCCTTTCATGGAAGTTTTCTATCTTCATAATCATTTGTGTCAGGCATTAACAATAACAAATTTGTGTATAGTTCTTCAAAGCAATGATACCGGAGTTTACCCAAATCATTACAAATTTTATTGTTGAATTTAAAAATGAGTACCATGACAACTCTTCACAAGCATTAATGCATAAACAACGAACAAAGAACACATAAACAATAAAATAAATATTGAATGCAGAAATAAACTCACCACAAGGTAGAAACAGTCTTGGGATGCAGCAAATCCGGTGTGACAGCCTCGGATGCTGCTGGAAACTCGCTGGAGTGGGGCTAGGGGAAGCTGATGACTGCTAGCCGAATGCTGATGGAGGTGGTAGATCTGAGGTGTGACAGAAGAGAGTGTAGAAGCGGCTCAACGACGACTGGATGGAGTGCTGGAGGGAACTTGGAGGAGCAACGGTCTGTTAGGGAGACTAGGAGGCGCGACAAAGAAAGCATGTGATGTAGAAGGGCCGGTGCGACAGTTTGGAAGAGGAGGGCCGTGCAGCAGTGGAGGGAGGAGGTGTAGGAGGGCCGTGCAGCAGCTTGGAGGTGTTGCGTGGCTCGTTTGTATGACTGGAGGGAGTCTGGAGGAAGGTCAAACGACCAGTTGGAGGACTAGGAGTGCGACAACGACAAGGGAGATGCCGACAGGATGGCACAGAGTGGAGATACATACCACCTTGGCGAGATACAACTGCAACACCATTTTGCCGAAGGATACATTCTCGAATGAGGGAGAACGCCAGGAAGACCGCCTGGAATAGAAAAATCAACAATAAAGATTGGTTAGACCTTAGAAGATAACTTGCATAAATAGGGGAGGGGAGGGAGACAACAAAGGTAAGATCTTAGGAAGGAAGGGGGGAAGAAAAGGAACGGTTTGCAACAATTAGGAGAAGATGTGGGAGATTAGGGCACAGGGGCGGGGAAGGAGAAGCCAATGGTTCGCGTACCGAGGGGGAGGGGTGCAAGATAAGTAAACTGGACTGGTTCGGTCTAGGGAGAAGGTTGGACCGGGTTGCTCTTGTCGCGTCTAGCCCAACATGCTGCAGCAGCCCCACGTCAATCTCCCGGGGTTGGGGGAGCTTCGACTTCATTTGCCGAAGCTTGTGGTTTCTAGTAGTATGGGGTGAGATCCGCGACATTGAATGTTGCCGAAATTTTAGCTCGGTAGGTCAATTTTGTAGGCATTATCGTTTAACTTTTTAATTATGTGGAACGTTCCATCGGTTTTGGGCTTGGGTTTTTTGTGTGATCCTATGAGAAATCACTCTTTCTTAAGACGAATCCACACGAGGTCTCCTTCTTTAAAGGTTACCTTTTTTTCGAGACTTGTTGGTTTGTGCTTGATATTTGTAATTTTGTTCAGAAATTGCTCTCCTAACTTTCTCGTGGGAGTTGTTAAATTTGGTGAGCACATTTGATAGCTTCCTTGCTGATCTCTGTTGGGGGTAGAAGTGAGACCAATTCAAGGGGTGTGATCAGGTTGCGACTGTACACAATTTCGAATGGTATGTATCCTGTGGTCTGGCTTTTTGATCAATTGTAGGCAAATTCTTTTTGAGCGATAATGAGATCCCATTGTTTGAAATTTTTCTCCATGAATCATCAAAGAAGATTCCCCGGGCTCATATTAACTACTTCGGTCTGACCATCTGTCCGAGGGTGAGCTGCAAAACTAAATTATCGTTTAGTGCTTAGTTTGCTACAGAGAATTCGCTAGAAGTGACTCAAAAATTTAATGTCTTGTCGGAAGGGATGGTCCTAGGAATGTCATGTAGTTGTAATAAATATGAGTACAGTTCATCTAAGTAATGATACTGGAGTTAACCCAAATCATGATGCAGACGAGACAAATTTTATTACTGAATTTACAAACGAGTACAATGACAACTCTTCACAAACATTAATGCATAAACAACAAAGAAAGAACACATAAACAGTAAATAAAATAACACATGAGCAAAAAAAGAAACAGTGAAAGCAAAAATAAACTCAACACGAGGTAGAAACAGTCTTGGGATGCGGCGATCCCGCGTGGCAAGCCTCGGATGCGGTCGGAAACTCGCTGGAACGGGGCTAGGGGGAGCTGACGACTACTAACCTAACGCTGATGGAGGTGGAAAACTTGAGGGCTGACAGAAGAGAGTGTAGAAGCCGCTTAACGTTGACTGGATGGAGTGCTGGAGGGAACCTGGAGGGGCAGCAGTCTGTCGGGGAGACTAGGAGGCACGAAAAAGGAAGCATGTGGCGTAGAAGGGCCGGTGCGGCGGTCTGGAAGAGAAGTAAAGGGCGGCAGTGGAGGGTGGAGGCGTAGGAGGGCCGCAAGCAGCCTGGAGGGGTGGTGTGGCTCGTTTGTACGACTGGAGGGAGTCTGGAGGAAGGTTGAACGACCAATTGGAGGACGTTTGATAGCTTCCTTGCTGATTTGTGCTGGGGGTAGAAGTGGGACTAACTCAAGTGGTGTGTCAGGTTGTGACTGTACACAATTTCAAATGGTGTGTATCCTGTGGTTCCGGCTTGTTGATCGATTATAGGCAAATTCAGTTTGAGCGAGATTGAAATCTCATTATTTGATGTTTTTCCCTATTAAGCATCGAAGATGTCCAAGGCTCATATTAACTACTTCGGTCTGACCATCTGTATTAGGGTGAGAAGCAAAATTAAATTGGAGTTTAGCGCCTAATTTGCTGCAGAAAGTTCGCCAAAAGTGACTAAAAAATTAACTTCTCGATCGAAAGTGATGGTCATGATCTGACAATGTGAGATGCGTCTAGCGTCCGGTGGCAGACCGCAAAATTTGTCATCTTTGAAAAATGTTCGACAACCACCATCACGGACTCCTTGTTTCTTGCATGCGGGGAAGACCTATCACGAAGTCAATGTTGACGTCAACCAATAGTGCCTCATGTACCAGTAAAGGAGTGTATAATCTTGTCTTCTGCCCATGAATTTTTGCGATATGGCAATTCCTACGGTGTCAGACGTGCCACTCCACATCCCTCAGCATGCGGAGCCAAAAAAAATATTCTTACGAGTGCGAGAGTCTTATCTCGATCAAAATTGCTAGCCAATCCACCACTATGGTTTTCGTGGACAATGACATCGTAGTGAACTTTTAAGAATGCATAATTTGTTTTTCGTGAAACAAGTAGCCGTCCGTTTTGTAGTATGGCCCGCTAGGCTTTTTCCGACAGTGTTCTCATATTTCCTGGAAGTTTTCATCTGTCTCGTATAGTTTTTCATAACTTCAATGCCTACCATGTGCATCTGCAGGGATGTGATCAATACGTGATGACGGCTCAGAGCGTCCGCAACGCGGTTCTAATTCTCGACATTGCTTTTGAGTACGAACTGGAAAGAAGCTAAGAATTCTACCCAGGTAGTGTGACACCCTTTGAGTTTACTTTGACTGTTTAAAAATTTTAGAGCCTCATGACCTGTGAAGAGGGTGAACTCTGTTGCGAATATGTAATGCCTCCAGTGTTCTAGGGCTCTAACAATGACAAAATTCTTTATCCCAGGTGGAATATTTTCGTCGAGTCTAATTTAGTTTATCGTTGAAATAGGTAATGGGGTGGCTACCTTGACTTAGAACAGCGCCAATGCTTACGCCAGAAGCGTCACGCTCAACCTAGAATGGTTGGTTGAAATCAGGTAAGGCGAGCACAGGGGCTTGAGTCACTTTTTCCTTCAATATGTCGAAACAAGTCTGGGCTGTGACTGCCAATGTGAATTCTTTTTCGTTTCAATAGTTTTGTGAGGTGGACGGTGATAGTGCTGAAATTGCAGACAAATCTTCTGTAGGAGGCTAGCCCTAAAAATTATCGAAGCTCGGTGAAAGATTGCGACACGGTCTAACTTATGATTGCCTTGATCTTTGTTAGGTCCATTTGTATCCCCGTGCTTGACACAATGTAGCTCAAAAATATATTTGATTTGTGAGGAAGTGACATTTCTTGGGGTGGACATATAATTTTTCAAATCGTAAGAACTCGAATGTCGTCTGAAGGTGCTGCAGATGGTCTTTTTCAGATTTACTATAAATCGGAATATAATCAAAGTAGACCACCACAAATCTCTCAATATGGGCTCGAAAGACTTGATTCATTAGCTGCTAGAAAGTGCTTGATGCTTTGGGCAGGCCAAAAGGCATAAAGGTCTATTCGTAGAGACCATCATGTGTTTTGAAGGCTGTCTTCCACTTGTCGCCTGGTCGTATTCTTATTTGATGATATCCGCTGCATAAGTCAATTTTAGAAAAGGCAGTGGCTCCGTGTAGCTGATCCATGACATCATATTTTGCGGGACACAATCAATAAAATGGTCTATTTGGTATAACCGACCCTGGTATGAGGTTGATGGTATGTTGGATGTCCCGTAGTCAAGATAATATGTCTGGGAGACTATCGGTCACGACGTCTTGGAAATCGTGGAGTGGTTTAAGGTGTAGGTATCTCACAACACCTTTTAGGAGGACCACAACCAGTGCTATCGGCGTGCCGCAAATTGATTCCAGGATGGTGACATTTGATATTAGCATTTCTTCAATATTGATTGTGGCTCTCACATCTTTTACAGACAATAACATGATGCATTTTCCATCCTTTTTGAATGTGTAGGTGTTCTTGAAGCCTTCGTGTTGCGTTTTTAGGTCGAACTGTCATGGT